ATGATAGCAAGCATCAGAGGCTTGGAGTTGGAGGTATAAAATGGGAGTCATCAGGGTAAGAAAGGCAAAAGAGAACATGACTAAGATTCCCCACAGAGACAGTCTAGGAAGAGGGCAGATACAGCAAGATCCTGTGAAACAAAATTGCCTAGTTTGGCAGGGGAGGAGAAGCCTGCAGAGAAGACAGAAGCAAAAGGCAAGAATGGGGTGTGGGGAAGATTGAGAAGACCTAGTATCATGGAAACAAACACAGAAAGTGCCTCAAGCAGGAAGCAGTCAGCTCTGTCAGATGCTACTGAGAGGTCAAGCAAGATGGAAACTGAAAACTGCCCCTAGGTTATTAAATCGCTGAGGAAATAAACTAGTACTCTGCAAGTCTCAGATCCTGAGAACAACTCAAGTCTTGTTGCTGTCCCTGAAGCAAGTTCCCTCAGGAAGCTGAAAGCTCTGGAGAATCTGCCAACTCACATCAGCCCCTTGGCTACACCTGTCCTCGCCAGAGGACATGACAGTCGTCTAATCTTTCCCTTCTCCTTCCCCATCTCCAACCCTTGGGCCGACTTTCAATCAGGCAAAAACTCCTTTAAAAAGTAGTCTAGAAATGTTTCAGCTGACATTCAAAAGTACACTGTAATACAAATGGAAATGCAGAAATGCATTCCCTTGGACAGTCTGGGAGAAATTATTATAGAGATAAGACACCTTTTAAAAGTGGTGACATGTATTTATCCACAGGGACATCTCTATAACATGGACTCTAAACTCAAGAGCAGTACAAGCTTCATGTGTAGAATGTCCTTCCACAGAGGTCACCTAGGCAGTGAACTTGGAAAAGACATGTTAAATGTGCACATTCTTTACATATGGAAAATTAATCTCAGGGAGTGAAATCAAGTTGCCTGCGACCACACTGCTGGTAAGAGGTAGAGTCCATCTGATTACAAAACCTGTCTCTTTGTCTCTCTCTCCTTGTGGATTCTGGCATGCCTTTGTCTATCTCTCTTTGTTTTTCTGTCTCCTCTTCCTCCTCCC